TGGGGCCACACAGCACATCAACCAACCGACACGCATTACTGCACGCGCGGCTCCATCATGCTTAGACCTACTTTTGACTAGCTGTGAGCAGCGTGTGCATAATATTCAAGTCTTAGAGCCTCTGGGAGCGAGCGACCACTCGATGATTATAGGCAGCTTGGAACTACCACTGCCGTACTCTCCCCCGCCAGAGCCAGCTTTCAACTATTGAAAGGCGGACTTTAATGGCCTCATTCGAGCAGCGAGCCAGACGGACTGGTCTTTACCACACGGTTCATCTATTGAAACCTGTTGGACTATCATTAAAGAGGGAGTGAAATCGTTGTGCGCCCGATTTGTACCCCTCAAATTTCGGAAAGTTGAGCCAGTCAAACCACATTGGTTCGACAAAGAGTACAACAAACTGGCCCGACGACGACGCAGACTATGGAACAAGTTCGTGTTATCTGGCTCTGATGAGGACTACAATGCGTATAAGGTACAGCGAAATCGCTGCAACGATGCGAAAACAAGAAAACGCAGAAGCTTCGAAGAGGAGCTTGCAGCCGCCGCAAAAACTGCTCCCAAGAGGATCTTTGCATACGTGAAACGGCGCCTGAGGCCTGTGGCCAATGTCCCAGTGTTAGAAAACTCCAATGGGCAGCCCCTAACCTCGAGTACAGATCGTGCTTCCGCATTGGCGACGCACTTCGCCTCAGTATTTGCAAGTGACCAGGTGTCTGTAACGAGTTCGACGAGTACCGCTCCAGCCGAACTTAACAGCCTGGACTGTAATATTGAGGATGTGCGCAAGCTTCTAGCAAATCTTGACGGGACCAAGCCTGCTGGGCCAGATGGTATACACCCACTGATCCTCAAGTCCCTATCGGCCATCATCGCGCCTTCTGTAACTGAACTGTTTAACAGGTCACTATCCACTGGACTGCCTGGTGAACGTTAATGATCTAGATTATGCGGACGATATCGTCTTGCTTTCCGACAATGTCGTGGCGGCACAATCAACCCTGAATAGCCTATCCAGAGTGGTCCCATTATTTGGTATGCACTTCGCACCTTCAAAGTGCAAAGTGTTGCTGCAGGACCACCAGCCACTCGATGACCCCTTGACGCTTGCTAACGAGGAACTCGATGTGGTTGATCAATTCACTTATCTTGGCAGCTGCATCAGCAATGATGGGCGCATAGAAACTGACGTTAGCTCACGCATTACAAAGGCCAGAGCTGCCTTCTTGAACCTGCGTCATCTTTGGCGACAGAAGGGAGTTTCCCTCCGTCTGAAAGGTCGTGTATACAAGGCTACAGTGAGGGCCGTTCTGCTCCATGGTAGTGAAACTTGGCCCCTTCGGTCTGAAGATCTGAGGCGCCTTCAAGTCTTTGATCATCGTTGTTTGCGAAGCATTGCTGGTGTCGGATGGCACCAGCGTGTCCGCAACGATGATGTGCGTAGGCGAGTACTAGGGGGTTATGATCATGCTAGCTCCCTAGAACAACAGATAGCACTGAATAAGTTACGTTGGCTCGGGCACGTGCTACGCATGCCTGGTCACCGCTTACCTAGGAGGGCCTTGTTCAGTCTACCAGGTGTCGGATGGCGCAAGGCTCGAGGTGGACAGAAGTTGACTTGGCAGCGGGAAATGAAGTCACTGACGACCAAACTGGGTGCCGTTGGTCCGTCTCGCCTTCCGGGTTGGAGTCCACGTGACTCACCTTGTGCTTGGCTCGAGACTTTACAGGACATGGCTCGCAGCCGACACCAGTGGCGCGTCTGCTGCCGTCTCCTAATCGGATTGTCTGTTTAAAGTGTGTTTGGTGCTGAGTTATCTGCGGGATAATGGCTGATTGTGACGCGTGGCAGTGAAAGCCGCAAGGAAGCTGTCTCGCCGATGCCGCCTTATTTTTGCACGATAGCCAGCTGTTTGTGACGGTATGTTGTTAACACAAGGTGTAGGCGCCTTGACCCAGAATGTTTGCTTAGGGCATTAAGGTTTTCAGGTAAGTCCCCCTTCTCTCCCTCTTACTATTCTTTATTTCATAGGTCCTCATGGTTGTATGGCAGCGAAGCATCAGTTCAAATGGCTGATGTACTGCTGTTGATGATGATGATGATGATCCACTGGACTGTTACCAGACGACTGGAAATGCTCGGTCGTAAAGCCTATACCGAAAGGTGGTAACCCAAGTAAAGTGGATAACTACCGACCAATCTGCCTGACTGCTGTTTTGGCAAAGACGCTCGAAAAGATCGTGAAGAAGAACCTTCTGCAGCTTCTCGAGTCGAAAAACCTGTTGACCTCCGCACAGCATGGTTTCATGAAAGGTCGCTCGTGCATCACCAACCTACTGTTGACAAGGCACGAGTGGTTACAAGCGATGAACCAAGGCAATTCAGTCGATGTCATTTACATTGACTTCAGTAAGGCTTTTGACAAGGTTAACCATGCAGTGCTCCTTGACAGGCTGAGGATGTACGGTGTTGGTGGTTCGCTACACAAATGGATCAGAAATTTCCTTGTGGATCGGAAGTGGAGAGTCCAGGTGGACAACCATCTAACGGACTGGTATCCATCGAGCAGCGTCGTGCCCCAAGGCACTGTACTGGGGCCGATATTGTTTCTGATCCATGTAAACGATGTGCCTAAGCTACTCCAATCGCCATGTGCGCTGTTCGCAGATGACTTGAAGGTGTGGAGAGTAATCCGCACACTCAATGATTATGATTTACTTCAGCAGGATCTCGACAGCCTCTCAACATGGTCTACAGAGGTTAACCTTCCGATCAACCCTGCTAAGTCGCAATTCATGAGGTTGGGTAAATGCGAGCACAGCCGAACGTACACAGTGGCTGATCAACCGCTGCATTCAGCGTCTTTCGTGCGCGACGTCGGTGTGCTCTCACGCTGCGACCTAAAGTCCATTGACAACACGAATAGGCTGTACCAAAACAGCCTTCGGATGCTTTGGGCGCTCAGGCGCAGCTTCCGCACTTGGTCCGAAGAGATTGCCACTCGCCTCTTCGTCTTGATAATACGACCAATGCTAGAGTACGGCTCTCCCGCGTATTGTCCCATCACGCTGGGCGAGGTAGAAAAGCTTGAGTAGGTGCAGCATGTAGCCACCAGGCTGATTCCCAACTTACCAGGTATGCCATATGAAGACTGATGTAAGAAACTAGGGCTGTACACCCTAGCTTATCGTAGGCTGAGGTTTGACCTAATCATGACGCACCGAACGTTACATCTGAGTGATTACCCCATGTTGAGACAACTGCTTCATCTGCGCACACCAAGCGGCACGCGAGGACACCGGTACAAACTTATCGTACCGCAGTTGAAGCGGGTAGCTCACCAACTCTGTTTCGAACGAAGAGTGGTGAATACCTGGAACAACCTGCCGCCGCCGGTAATAGAGGCGAATTCAGTGGCCGAATTTAAGAAGCTTCTAGACAAACATTTCGCAGAGGCAAAATATAAAGAGCGGAACGATAACTAATATGTTGATATCCAAGAGCGACAATTGATGCAGCTACACGGGGTGTGCTCTTCTCGCTGCTTCTAATCAGTATCAGTATCTTGTGCTTTTCCGAGTATGCATCTGGCTTGCCGAACAACCTACCTGTGTTACCAGTTGTGCGACGCGGGAATTTCTCGTTCTGACAGATGGTTCGGCCTCTGTGTTCCAGGACGTTGGCAAGATTCTCCCTATAAAATTCACCAATGTCTGCTTAACAACAATGGGACTGGCGAGTGTTACTCGTCACTTTACAGGTTCACCGTCGCTTGTCTTCCTCGGAGACACTGTACACCTGCAAGCAATCCGGACATCAGCTACTGTCTCTGAATTCGAGATCGTTGGGCCTTTGGTACACTTTTCCGCCATCCGAGATGAATGCGCGGTCATCGGCTCCCAAACGTGTGCACAATCCTTATTTCGCCATGTTGTCCTATGGGCCAAAGGCTCGTGGCGGTGGTCTACTAACAGGCTACCTACTTCGACCTAAGTAACCAGGCATGCTTTCGCTTACCGATGAACCGTGGAATCGCACAACTACGCTCTCTTTCTCGCATTCTTGCTGATTCATTGTGCTGCTATTTTACCAACTTTTTGAGTGCACATTGCCTATCTGAGATTGGGTGACTGCGCTGAATTTCCGTCAAATTACAATTACTTATGTATTTTTGTGAGTAGTATAATGTTCGTTGAAAGTAGAAGTCACGATTACACACTCAATAATTTGCCTTGACGGGGAATCGAAACCCGGTCCCACGAATTACCGGTCCGCTGCTCTACCATTGAGCTACCGAGGGCTGACGACCAGGTGCGCAATTTAATGCATGACTTCTGCTTAGTGCGCGACGTATTGCCAATGAGCTCACAGTATCTGTCCTGGTGTTGCAGATTGGCTCACTCACTCGTCACTTCCCAATGGACCAAAGTATCTGTCCTTCTGATGTCCAAAGGGCGATAATAGATTACTTGTGTATTTTTGTGAATAGTGTAATGTTCGTAGAAATTAAAATTATAGTATCTTCTAGTAATGTCGAACCAATTCTCTCGAAAGCCCCTTGTCCTGCCTAAACAAAACCAAAGTTGATATCAAGAATACTTATCGTCCTTTCTTTCGAAACTGCACACTATAACCGGTGGACCTATTTGAATGAGCTCAGTTGGTTCGTTGCTGTCGCTCGGCCTACAATTTAATTATACTGCTATTTTTGTCATACCACATTTGCCTTGTTCTGTTTACTTCACCGAAGCCACAGTTAAGGGATAAACACGACTTATTACCTTTGGGCTTCCGTTTGTATGCTTAACTTATATTTTTGATTGTGGCCTTTATGCCATCGTTGAGCCGACTCCAATGTTTGATATTTCGTACAAGAAGTTCACGCGAGCCATTAAAAGCTCTTAAACTCCATTTTTCCTCACTTTCACATATGCTGCTCCTCAGTTTGTCCTGATTTGCTTCAGCTAACTTCTTTATCGAAACATTTGTATTGTAGTTGCCAAACTCTTCCAATTGTTCACATTAACTTACTCCTATGGGTCCCTATAGGAGTGGATATAGTTCAGTGGGCATCTCCCCAGAGAGTTAGTGATCACGGTCCACTAGGCCCGTCGCGACAGTGGGAACTTTTTCATCGATCAGAGGTGAGTCCATCCGTTCTCCAATCCTGCTCCACTTCATCCGACTCCCATTTAACATGCTCTTGCATGTCCATTATGTTTCGGAAGTATTCTTCATGCATTTTTCGAGCTCTGTTTTTCCCTCACTACTTAATTCATTTCTTCCCGGCTTGATATCCTTCCGGTTTACCACCTTTCACTACGCCACCTCATGCGAGTCAACGGCACTCGTCGTTTTCTTTTTCGCCTTTGTTATAAGCCATATCTTTCTCCTCTATCATGCGGACTATGCGCTCTTTCTAGCCGAATGTTTCGCTCGTATCTTCATACTTTTACCCATTGCTACCGAATTTGAATTAACTACAATGTGGCTTTCCGTATACTTGTGTGATCCATCACTTTGCATTTTCTGACATTCTATTGTTAACTTCACATCACACCTATTGGCTAGGTCAATTGAAGTTGATGCGGCAGACACGGTCTGCTGATCCTGCAGGTTGAACGTATAACTCATAATGGCGTCCCACATTACCCTCTTATCGTGTAACTCCCATCCCCTTCGTCGATCTCCCTGTTCTAGCCAGAGTATATATGTATATGTATATATGAGTTCGGAACCATATCTTCAGTCCAAACTTTCGTGAACAGCGATAGGATTTTGCTGACAAGTACACTCTCGCCATCTGAAGAAAGCCGAGGGCAGGCTGTCATGACCATGTGCTTTGTGGTTTTTCAAACATTGGATTGCTTCTCGGATCTCTGCTTCAGTTGGGGGGCCTGTGGAGACAAGCCAAGCATCATCCGTTGGGTCTGGAGGTGCCACAGGGAACTATGTTGGGCTCTTGCATTGAAGAGCGAAATTCTTTGCCCCGCGACCCAATCGCCTGTGAAGGTTGGTGATCTTCGTGCCGTCTGATTCGCAAGTCTTCTGGCTGATAGCGTGGAAATTGCAACCAATAGCCCTGATAGTGCAAAATAGTCAGCGAAGGTTGCCAGTTGATGCAGCGGCTTCCATCTCATCAGCTCGTTTTCACCACCAGGATTCACGATCAGAGCGAAGGCTTGATTTTAGCTGTTGCGTAATAGGCCGGCGGTGTTCTTTGTGCTCTGCGCCGGCAGGCGCCGCCCGTTGGTGATCCAGCAATTCCAAGGATAATCCCGAGATCCAGCTTTTGAGAGTGCAGCGAGCGAGGCTGCAGCTGGACAAACCGGCCGACAGCATGGCTTGTTGCAGGCTTGACCAGTGTTGATCAACATCCAGAGTGGGAGAGAGAGCGAGATTTTCACGAAGCCTTTGTTGATAGTCCTTCTTCACCATAGGGTCCTCTAACTTGTAGGTGTTCAGTCGGGTGTGTTTGGACCTAGGTGACCACCGAAACGCATGCAAACAGTCGCACATACCAGTGCATGATCGGTATCGATGCATGTTGACCAAAATGATCGGCAGTGGCGTACGCTGCCGCGCCACCTGCGATTTACGACTATGTGGTCAGTCTGTGACCAGCGCTGAGTTGATGATGGTGGCGCTAAGTGGCGTGCTGGCGTCCCGGATGACGAAAGCTCGTGCTGGAGAGGAAAAGCTGATGATCAGCACACAGACTGAGCAGTCTCTCTCCGTTGTCTGAGCGAACATCATCATCGTATTCATGCTAGTTCCCCGAGGTGGCGCTCACATGTCAGCAGCCGACCGACACGTGCGTTGAAGTCTCCTGCCAAAACAATGATATCTGTTTTAGGAGCCCTTAGGAGTAGCTCATGAAGGTTCTGGTAGAACTGGTCCTTGACTGTGTCCGAGCTACAGTTGGTGGGTGCGCAAATAGAGATCACGAGGAGAGCACGCTTTTCGACTCGATGTCTACTAACTTTACCAGAGCCATGGAGCCTCATCGCACAAAGGCGACTATTGCTCGGAATCCAATCAGTCAGAGCAGCCTCGGCTCTAGCATTGAGGGCGATTCCAACACTAGCTTGCCGAGATGCGGCAGACTCGGTGTCACTAGACAGCCGAAGATGGAAGCGAGTGCATAGGTTGAACGGTGACGCCAGCTGGTAGACCGAGTTGGAATCCTGGAGTCGCGTTTCACTCATGCAGCAGACATTGATTCTAAGGGTCTGTAGCGTGCATGCATGTCCATCTTGCTGGCTGATCTGCAGTTATGTGCGTAGGTTGAAGGCCGCAAGTTTGAATTACCTTCCGGGTTACAGGATGGAAGATAGAAGACTTCAGGACTGACAGCTCTCTGTTGAGCACTGTGTGGTTGAGTTGGCAAATGTCACGGGAACAGGTTCATCGGTGGAGGTAAGGTTAATCGCCATAGAGGAATCAGGTAAAAATGGGTGTGAATGGTACAAGGGAAGGGTAGGTAAAATGGTGGCGTGTGCTTGTGAAGTTGGCATAGTAGCATGAGTGAATAGCATCGGAGCAGCAAGAGAGCGTGTGTATGGTTGTGGTTGTAAGTCCATGGTTCGTCAGTAGGCGAGATACTACCCGGTTGCCTAGGTCGACAGGTAGGTTTTCTTAGGGGAGCACCGCCTCGAATTTTTAGCCGAAGGGCCTAACCCGCAAGGCAGCAGGAGGAGGTGAGGGATTCGCACCCGTTGGGAGCTGCGACTGGACACTCAGCTCATACGCTTTTCGGATGGGAAAAAGCCATGCTAGGGGCCCAACACTTCCGAAGTCAGAGACAAGATCCGATGCTCGGAATGCTTGCCGGTGTATAATATCTCCAAAGGAGACAAGGGGCAGTGACTTTAGTTAGCGGCCAGTCACATCCGCCAGGTCGCAGTGTTGTTAGACGGACATTTGTGGCTTTTTATAGGGAGAACGCTTTCCAGCCGAAAACCCACCACGTCATAGGAGGCCAGACGGCTCCATCCAGCGGAAAGTCTACAGGAAAAATACGTGGATTGGTCAATATACGAATTTTCACAGTTTCGTCCCCCTGAGATATAAGCGAAACTTAATCCACTGCCTTACCGCAAGAGCACGTAGAATTTGCTCACAGAACACCCTGGATGAGGAACTAGCCTTTATAAAGAATACGCTGCGCGAGAATGGCTATCCTGATAGATTCGTTTCAAAGAATTTTGAAGAAAAACCCAAGCCGGTACCAGTTTTAACCGCGGCGAAGAAGGAGTTATTTTTAAGAATACCTTTTAAGGGGGATGCCGCTGCCGGACGCCTAACCAAAAGTCTTTCAGCGGTAGTCAAGTCGACATTCCCAGCAGCCAGGTTAAAGTGCACATTTTCTACTGAACCACTTGTTTGTTCACGCAATAAGGATACACTGCCAATGCTGACCTCATCTATGGTTATTTATCAGTTCAAGTGTGTTTGTGACGCTACTTATATTAGTCGAACGGCAAGGCACTTGTCCAAACGCGTGAAGGAGCACTGCCCGCGCTGGTTGCGTCAAGGAGGAACTGGGGCCATTAGCAGCGCCGTTTTGGCCCACATTGTCGACACGGGGCACCAAGTCGATCTAAAGCGTGCCTTCAGGATAATTTACAGGGTCCCCCATCATCAATCAAGAGGTTTACGCCTCCGTGCGCTCGCGACAGCTGAATCGATTTGCATTCGGTTGTTGCAACCTTCATTATGCTCGCAAAAGAAGTTGCTTCATGCCTTACAGCTTCCCTGGCCAGCTAGAACGAACGATACTGAGGTCGATTGCCACCAACCAAGCTCGATAACATGCAATCGACCAGTCAGATCAATGATCAACTTTTAGCCTCCCTCACTGATCTGTTAATTAACTATGTAACTTGACCCAGTGAGTCGATTTCAGTTCATTATTTTACTCTTAAATATGATTGTACTGGTCTGAAGAGAATCATCGAAAACAATTGTTCACCTATGGTCTCGTGTTCTTTTGACGTCATGGAACATTGTTACCGAACCGTTCGCCGGAACGGGAAATTCCCGTACAGCCCAGCTGACACCACGAGGAGGTTGTTCGGCGAGCCAGAGGCTTTGGTTATAATTTGTGCTCGTCCATCTTCCTGGAGTTCGTCGTCATGACGCGGACACATCAGTGTACATGCTGGTTAATGAACTCTATCTGAAGTCAAGAAGCTTTTATATTTCATTTCAATCAACCAAACGGGTTACGTACTGCGAGGTACAGTGGTTTTAGGCACCTCTACAAGCAACGATGACGAACCACTTGAAGACATCTTAGGTCCTCAGTGTGAAGGAGCCCATTCTTACTTTCATCGTTTAGAACAAGTTTTATTTTAGTGTTACGTTCACGACATTTCATATCCAAGTAAATTCACTTATGTTGTCACCTTACCTACCTCAGCACATGGGCTGATTTCTTCAGTAACGCGCACGTCGCTGCTAATGCGGCCACCAAAAAGAACTTGATTTTTCAACCAGTTTCAGCTCCTCGTCGTCAAGTGTGAAATGATTATCAATAGGTTGGTGGTTTTGTAGCATTGCACTTTGCAATTGTGAAGCACACACACACACACACTTCTAATTGAGGACTATCCAAGGCTGACTGTGCCGGTTCGTGATCATCGAGCTGCAAAGCCGTATCGTCCGCGTCAGCTAGATCCATCAATCCTCTCACAGAAAGCGCACCAATGCCTACATGATGATAGTTCACAAGACAGCTCCTCATGATGACGTCCACCTTAATGTTAACAAAAAAGTAGGAAAATAGGACAGCTTTGACGGACGCCACTTGTTTGGGAGGTGTCTGACTATTCTTGCACTATTCGACTATTGGTTACCTGGTTCAATATGACTTGGGTTGCTCCAGGCAATCTGAAAAGGCCTCGAAGACCGGGAACCAACACGTTGGGCTGTTGAAGCGGACGTTTAGACAAATAAACAGCTCCATATTTCGACAAATGCTCAGTGCGTATGTTCGCCCCCATGTCGAATATGCAATTCAAGCCTAGCATCCATGGCTGAAACACGACCTTAATGCACTGGAGCAGCCACAACGCCGGACATTTAAGAAAGTAATTGGAATGAGCAATCTTTCCTACCAGGAGAGGCTGCAACGACTGGGATTGTTCAGTGGGAGCTATCGCAGACTACGAGGCGACCTGATTATGGCATACTTGATTCTGCGAGACCCACATCATGTGTGCCGCCCTTTACTGCAACTCAGCAGCAATACAAATCTGAGGGGCCACTCATTAAAACTCGCAGAACAATACAGTCATCTGGAGTGCCGCAGAAATTTCTTTTCCATCCGTGTCTGTCACCCGTGGAATGCTCTCCCAGAATCGGTCGTCTCTGCACCAACACTAACAGTATTTAAAAGGCAGTTGGACGATGCACTCATCCACTTACACTTTGTTACTTAACACTACGTCTCCATCCTACACCTGGAGTTTACCATGGAATTATCTGTTGTTAACTGTGGGTGCTGTGAATCTAAGAGGATCACAGGACTACAACGAAGCAAACGATAAGTCCTCCATTTCGTATTTAAATTATTAACTATTTTACTATCCTTATTATCATTATTGTTATGTTGATATCCCCACCAACTATCCAATGGGACTTGTAAAGCAACGCTTCTTAACCCGTATATATTCGTTGTTCATTGTTCATATTTGGTTGGGGACAGCTTTCTGGGCAAATACATCGAGCATGGGAGGCGATCGGTTAAGTCAAATGCGTTCAACCTACGGTACGTGTATCGCTACTCTGGTTCCAGTTGCGGATTAACGCTTTAGTATATACTTCTCTTTTTGTCGGGGAGCTTTTATGCCACAATAATGCGAACGATAGTGATTGATACCAGAAATTTTGTCACTGTTGACGACAGGCTGATGATACCCTCGTGTTTAGCGCGAACGGCGCGACCGCTCCTCGTGTATACTATTACTATAACCTTTTCACCTTGGTTTACTGTTGCGGTTTGTCTTTTTCCACACCTATTGAACCAGGCCGATTAACGCTTTACCATCATCTCACATCAATCTCTGGTCAACACTGGTGCAAGGGAACCCGGGTCGGCAGCGCGAAAACGATTGCGGACTATGATCACCTTTCGTATCTCAGCCCATAAACTAATCGGTCAGGTTTCGGTCTGCACCACCTGAGTACGAAGTGATGCAGCCGCAAGAGACCAACTGAACCGTTTCCAAAAGTACTCCACCCAACGAGCGAGACAGCGCTTTTTACTATGAATCAAAGCACCCGTGTTGTCCTCGATTGTCTCTGACACATGAGTTACTTGGACCACGGACGCGGATCAGCTAGAAGACTGCGGTAGTCGTTCGCTACTCTTGCTTTTTCCATTTCCTGAACCCAGAATTCCTTGGTAGCTCACAGGCTCCGTTATGGCTCTCGCCTGATAGTCCATCCGATCGTACTGTGCTCGGCGTCAGCAGTACTGTATTACATCACTCTGACTTGCCCAGCTTGACCTAGAGTTGGCAAACAATACGTACAGAGGTAGCCTGTAAACAGAATAGCCATGGTATACTGGATGGACGGTGACCACAAATTCCTCTAGCTATGCATCGACCAGAGTACCACTTCTTACACACGTCCACCTCGTACCTGACATCCGCCAACCGCAGCGGCATCATGTATTCATATTGATTACATTGCTACTACCTACAGATGACAGACGTCGATGCAGGGCTGTCGGCCGATCTGAAATATTTACGTACACTCCAATCACATCTTAGTTTTTGCCTGCACGCTTCTCGCTCTTCTAGTTGCAGCAGAGTTCACAGCGTTTTGGTCCCCTACAGTCACCTGGGCTTCGAATTCGCAGCTCATTACTACCAAGTTCGGTTGACTTACCAGCCATCGCTGATAAACCTGGTGAGTGATCCTGGCATCAATTGGAATCTTCCACAGTGTACCCCATAACGAAGAGTTTCGAAACCGCTTTTTAACCCAGCTTGAAGCAGTGGTTAGTTTGATCGAAGCACTTAATAACTTGACTCTTTTAAGTGTTCAGTTTCGAAACATTCGCACTACTTCGTCGTGCTGTTTGCTTAGAAGACGTAACGTTGACCGCGATCGTTGGTAGATGGTGACGACCCGTGATATTGGAACGAGGATTTGCCGATCCGTTCTATGTATACACCAACCTATGGAATCATTTGTATCACTTTGCATTTTATACTGAATACTGTATTATAGAGCAAGCAGAAATGGATTCTGTACAACTCTTTCGAAATATGGTGAAAAACGTTATAAAAGTTGTCAACCGTGAATATCATTGTCCTTCTCATGTAACATTTAAAATATCTGACTTACGATATTTGACTACTCACAAATGTGATTTCTCATCGTAAGTGTTCAATCGCTCTCTGAACCGAATAGTGGCAACATATAAATCTAACAACGTTTTAACAGTTGCACATATGTTACCTCAATCACTTGCTAAGGTAAACTGTTCCAAATGTTTAACACTCTCCGTTCGAAACACAGTGGGTGGGGAACACAATGCACATCCGGCAGGACAAGTTTGTATCTGTGTCCGCGTGTGCTGCATGACCCTCGTAAGTGCAGCATTAGCCTTAGCATTGGGAGGTCACCGAGATATAGTATACGGTAAGTCATAATGAGGTCGACTCGCATCCGACGTAGGACAAGGTGTAGAGTCCTATTTTCTCGCACCGGTCATCATACCCAAGCCAAGGAATCTCAGGATGAGCCTGGTAGCAACGCGTTGGACCCGTTCGATTTTTTGTGCCTCGCCTCGGGTAATCGGAAAGTAGGCGGGTGAACCCTACTCTAGCATTGGTCTAATGATGGAAGAGAAGAGGTGAGTGGCAACTTCTCCAAACCATGTGCAGAAGCTACGTTTGAGCGCCCAAAACATGCGCAGTCCGTTACGATATAGCCTGTTCGTGTTGTCCACGGACTTCAACTCGTAGCGTGAGAGTACACCTAGGTCCTTCACGGAGGGTGTGGGATATAGCGTTTGGCCGTCAAGGGTGTAGGTTCGGCCGTTAGCACCCTTCCCCAGGCTCATAAATACAGACTTGGCTGGGTTAACCGGGAGAAGAACTTCTGCAGACCATGTAGATAGGCGGTTGAGGTCTTGCTGAAGTAGGCCACAGTCATCGAGAGCGTCGATTTCTCTCCAAATCTTCATGTCGTCCGCAAACAAAGCACTCGGCGAACGGAGGAGCTGCGGTAGATCGTTGATGTGGATCAGGAACAGAGTGGGCCCCAGCACAGTGCCTTGAGGCACGCCACTTGCAGAGGGGTACCAGTCAGTTAGATGGTCGTCGACCTGTACCCTCCACTTTCGTCCAACAAGAAAGTCGCTGATCCACCGGTGCAGTAAGCCACCGACACCACACATTCTGAGTTTGTGAAGAAGAACCTCATGACTGACCTTGTCAAACGCCTTACTGAAATCGATGAATATCACGTCGACGGACTTCCCCTTGTTTATTGCCATCAACCACTCATGCCTCGTCACAAGTAGGTTCGTAATGCATGAGCGACCTTGCATAAAACCGTGCTGTGCGGGCGTCAGGACCTCGTTTGACTGTAGCAACTGCAGCAATCTCTTCTTCACGATTTTCTCAGCAACCTTTGCCAAAATAGGTGTCAGACAAATTGGCCTGTAATTGTCTACTTTGCTAGGGTCGCCGCCTTTCGGAATAGGTTTCACCACCGAACATTTCCGGTCAACCGGCAACAAACCTGCGGACAGCGACCTGTTGAAAAGGTCAGTCACGACAGGAGAGAGGATGGTTGAAAGTGACTTGAGAACCAGTGGGTGAAGCCCATCAGATCCGGCAGGTTTGGTGCCGTCAAGATTGGCGAGTATTTGAGCTACCTCTTCAACGCCGCAATGCAGACTATCGAGTTCGGTAAAAGCGGTACACGTCGAACTCGGAACAGACACCTGGTTATTCGCAAATACAGAAGCGAAGTGCGCCGCCAACGCGGACACACGCTCAGTGCTGGAGGTTAGGGGCTGTCCATCCGTGCCATCCAGCACTGGTACATCATCTGCCGGCTATATTACGTATTATCTTTTTTTGACTATCCTGTTGCACTTTGTCGGCATAGTAGTTGACGCATTTCTCATCTTCAGTTGACGTTTAGATTAGTGATTAACTAATTATGGCTACTCCTGGCATTATCACGCAATCACGGTCACTTTCTTACTATTCGCTGCTCTCCCATCCTGCCGTTTCACCTTGCATTTAGATCGATGTTGTCCTTTAATTACACTCATCGATTATTTATTTGCTGAAAATGCACTTACGTGGCTGTACGAAGCCTGTTTCGACTCATCTTGCCTTGCCTTTGTCGCACCGTTCCCATGGCACGATGCACGATGCTCTTCACAACAAATCGCAAAACTCTCCAAAGTCAGTCATGGATTGGTAGATCACTAAAATTATTTCTCTACGCTGGACACCAGACATTGTAAGTATTATAGCGTACTTAGCGGTTATGGTTTTTTCGCTCATTTCTCCGTGCACGAGGTCGGTATGTCCTCCAGAGCTCACACACCTAAGTGCCTTGAAATTACTTGTCATCAGTGTCCGTTTGGCCTGTAATCCACGTGGTCTAACTCTCCATCTTCCATCTTCTTTTCCCAGCAGCGTCGCCCATCGTCCACCGCTGATAGTACACTTACTGAGCCGCACACGTCGTGTCTGGAGAAGTCACAACTTCTGATCGATAAAATTTCGGAACATATTAACAAAGGTGCACCTATGTCAAGTTTTGCATTTCGGAAACTGCCCGGTTTTGTTCTGCCTGCCTTCCATTGTTTTATGTGTTAACGCAATCCTTTATTGTAAACATGTGTCAACTATTTGATACAGGGTGTCTACAAGGTCTACAATTTCCTAATATTGAGTGACAGATTCCCGGGACATTTGCCCCAGTGTTCGGCGTGAGTCCGTGTATTTACATTGAGGCGGCTTACTTCCTCGATCATCGATTGGTTCCTGTGCTTTCACGGAAAGTGTTAGCTTTCGTTTTTAGACCCTCCGGTTTTCGGACTTGTGGATGGCTACTTTGTATTTAATTTTATTCGGAAGGCTCCAATCGGTATCAAAGGTCTCAACTTCACAGCACACATGATGTCACAGCATTGGTCAGATGCGCGTGGTTGGTGCTCTTTGAAGACATTGTGATGCTGATCATCTATGACTGTTCATTTATGTTCAATAAATGGGGCACACTGATGTCTGGTGGGAGCATCGCTTGAGCAATGAGCGTGTTCGGCCTTGCGTATTTGATGCAGGAAGGGCGAGTGAACCGCTCAGCACCGTTATTTCAAGCACCAGGCACCGATGGCTGGGCCACGTGTTGCGCGTGACAGCACACCGACTTTCGTGACGTGCCTGGTTTGCGCGCCGGCGGTGCGGTTGGAAGAGGAGGAGGAGAGACTATGCGATGACTTGGTCGTGTGAAATGAAAACCCTCGCTTCGAAACTTGCTTCGGTTGGTGCATCCCGACTGCCCGACTGGGGGTTCTAAGGACGATGAACACGTTTGATTGGACACACTTGCTTATATGGCTAAGAACCGGCCCCAATGGCGTTTGTGTTCTGCGTTCCGTTGTCCATCCGCCTCCTGCGTAGCCCCCCCCCAATCACGATCTCATTTGTTAGGCGTAATATAACTACTTTTGCGGCTCCAAAAGCCGGCTGTTAGCTCTCCGAAACAATGTCCATCCGGTACTGGGGACTCAGCCGGCGTTCCACTGTTTTTTCTTATTGTCTTTTGTATTGCGGCACAATAGCTGAGGTGTTTTCCTCCATCTGCTAGCGTGCATAATAATGATAATGTGACACACGAATACCCACCGATTGGTGTTTCCAAACGATCTTTCCGTAACTGCAGCGGTTCATCTCAGTTGTCCAACTGAGTTGCTGATGATCGCGAATTGGCTTCGACTTGGGCTGCCAAAAATACCAACAGCAAAATCCGATCTAAAAATGGACCGAAGAAGGTGTAAGTTGGTTCACCTTGCTTGGCTCATATCTACTGGTGGAAGCACCGAGCGAGCAATACGGGTTATCCATCAGGTGATGTTTAGAAAGAAACCCCCTGGTGCCGCAGTAGGATGTATGCTATAGTTGGACTATGTCACCCCATACCATTTCCGAGGCATGTTAGGCCATAGCGGAATCAATTTAAGCCGTAAACATTTCAAATTGAGCCACTACTATTTTCAACTTAATCCGTTCCACCCGTTGGCCGACGTGTGGACTGGATTAACTTGAAAATGGTACCTGCTCACATTGAAATCTATGCTGCCTAAAGTACTTCCGCTATGGCTTAACTTGACTCGGAAATGCTATAGTCTTGTCTAGTCATGTTCGTCGTGTACCCGTCGACCGCATATCTTGCATGCGCGTTACTTGCCTTTTGCTTCACCTAATTCCGTGAACCCACGGAGTGTTCAGTCATTACTATAACAGATACGCATGAGGACGTCGCCTGAAATGCTTGATCCATGCTGTCCACCTGGATAGAAGCCAGCAGCCAGGACCTATCAAGTGTTAGGAATTTTACTTGATATGAAACGGTTGCGTAGTAAACCGCGCTCCCACGTTCTTTTTATTTTGTCCTAGCTGTTAACATGGACAAGTCATGATAACCTTTATGCACCTAAATGAGTGCATTTTCAGCATTTTACGCTGCCAATTGGGAATGCTCTGAAATGGCGCCAAAAATGCAGAATTTTTTAAATGGGTAAGCGACATCGAATCACTATTGTAAACGGCACTTCCCTCTACAGCAATGATCACACAATATTGAACAGAATCCTCTGGATTTACATCCACCAAGAGGACAAAGTTTAATCAAAAGTTTTCTTATAACTGATTTTATTTGACGTAAGAGTTCGTGTCCAAAAGCAATACATCGGGAATGGTGCGCAGTATCTCATCATTCAAAAGGTGGATAGATTAGGACGGTCTCAGTGAGCTCGGAAATTGTTTGAACAACATCGGTCGGACTATTCTCGCAAAACTGATGTACATACATTAGACAACGTAAACGTGATTTCCGGCGAAATAGGCAACGACCGATTTAAAGGCTCTGCCAATATACACACCTTATAGAATTCAGAACTCATTTTCCTAGCCCCTCTTTGTTCTCGATTTTGCGACTTTTTTCATCCTCTCCACCATTCCTGCTTGTTTAGTTTATGGTGGCACTGTGCGACCTGCTTACGGGATCCAACACAGTTTACTGTTTGGACAAGAATGTCTAACTGCACTGCAGTGAACTGTGATGTCTTTTGAAGATTCATCGTGGCTAGACTCAGGCAGACATCCACCACACATCCAGTTTGCGTTAGATGGCTGCTTTATCCTCTTGGGACTCGTTAATATCGCGCACTCGCCGAATCCTGCCCGATTCTATCTAATGGCCTCACTCTTACGAGTCAGCGACTCATGCCTCTGAGATATGGGTGATGGCGGCGAACCATCGTGACTAATATCCAACTGCGCTATAGCGCGGCTCATCCTCCACCGTCATGTATATATGGGGCTGGCCCCCAGAGCCACGACTTCCTTTGCAAGCCGCCACTAACTCGGTAGGAGCCGGAGGATGCGTGCTACCTACTGAGGTATGATCTGTCCGAAGCGCGTGTTTCGAACTGCACGCACCTTAGTGCGGAGTTAAGCGATTCATTGGGACCCATCAACGGATGTACCTCGATGCTCCCGTCAAACATGCGTACTATCACACAGTCGGCTGGCAGCCTAGAGGTAACGAGCTTATCTCGTAATCTTGCGGCGCGGTTTCGAATCCTCGCAGTATACTCAGCCCACGTGCGACTGGTAGTGGTCACACGGCAGTGAAACGCCGTTACGGCGTACCGCTAACACATTATTATTATTATTATTATTATTATTATTATTATTACTATTACTATTGATTATCACACAGACACCAGTAAACAACACGACCACGTCCTTGTGTACATTTTTTTACCAATGCGCTTGTGTCGTACTGTTTCCTTCATTGACAAGGTCTGGAAACCACACTACCTTAGCAGTGCCCGCTAACTTCTTCGTGAGTGCAGTCACCGGAACCGATTCATCTAGTTGAATAGGTAAACCTATCCATCATATCTGGTGCTTGTTCACCGCTTGTAAGGACTGGTGGTAGTTTATAGGTGTGATGCACATACCGATGGTCACAGCACTGTACGTTAGTGCATACAGGGGCGTTCGCAGATCAGATGGGTCTGGTCTGAGGACTTACCCACGAATACAAATCTGACAGTCGATAACTGCAACTGAACGTTTCCGTTAAAGGAAGCGCATGAATGTGGGTGGTAGTTGTTCTCATGATCACTTCCATGATAAGCTTAATTAGAAAGTAAAGTGGCCTTGGTCAGCTCCGTTGTCTGACTTATTGAACGATTTTCACACACCCGTACGTGGCTTATAGAGATTTCCAGGACAGAATCTCTCCAGCACACTCAGCAATGGGAGGCATCACCACTAAGTAACTCTTGCAACTGACTACTTAAGCTTGCTGTTTGCTTTTTCAGATTGCTTCATAAGGGGTTCAACAGCTGATGATACGGTCATCTGAATCCACGGCAGCTTTCGGATCAGCGATGGCCATCACGATATATGCCGTTGTATTACATGATGTGGTAAAGTGGAAACATGGTCAATACTACACCTCGGACCAGAAGCAGACATACTTTTGACCGATTTAACTTTCTCAAGAATCAATGAGCTACCACTCCCCGATGCATGCGTTACATTTCGGACATGACTAAGATAATGACAACGAGAACAGTTGTGATGCGTATATTCCTTGGGTCGGAGTTTTTTTGTATACACGTTAGTTGCGGGTGGAAAACATTTCAGCTATTGTGCCACAATGCTAAAGACAAGAAGAAAGAAAAGGTACAACAATGGCACGCCGGCTGAGATCCCAGTACCGGATGGACATTGTTCCGGAGAGCTAACAGTCGGATATCGTGCCGTATAAGGAGAGTTATATAATGCCTAAAGAATGAGGTCGTGATTCGAGGGGATGCTAAGCAGGAGGGGGATGAACAAAGGAACTTACAACACAAACGCCACTGGGGCCGGCTCCTAGCCATATAAGCAAGTGTGTCCAACCAAACTTGTTCATCGTCCTTTGGACCCCAGCCAGGCAGTCGGGATGCACCAACCGATGCCAACTTCGACGTGTGGCCTTACATATCTCTCAAGCAACTCGTCGCTTGGCCTCCCCACCTCTAATTCTAACCACACATCAGGGTACGAACTAGACTGATTATGTAACGGAGCAGACCAATACGTACCATTATGATCACTAACCTGCCTTATAATCAAATGACAGATTCTAGCCTGCGTAGAAGGGGTCTGGCGGCCTTTGCAGTCTCCTCACCCCATTTGCGACTGGTGGTGGTTGCGCGGCAACAAACTGAAATATCGGTACTGGGTACCGGCGTACTGGTGGTACCCTCTTTTGCATGGATAATATAACGACTCTGAAGTTTTTGCCGCTAATCCTACGGCATGTGCAGTCCCTGTGGGTGTTGTAGTTTTCTTGGTTCTATGCTTATTTTTTGGCTACCCTTTTGCTGCCACTGCTTATGTACTTTTGAGAAGAAAGCGTTGGAGGACTTTCCCGATCGAGACATGGGCAGTATAAAGTTCAACGCAAAGTGCGTTCAGAGTTAACGGGGAATGTGCTCACGTTAGACAGGTTGACTATTTCACTATACACCACTTCGGACGAGTAGGAAAGCGGAACGAGTAGCTGTCCTGATTGCTCGCAGATATTGTATATCACTTGTCGTGAAGTCTCCAAGGGAAGCCAGCAAAGTATCAGCAGTACGACGGTATGCAGTATCGAAGCTTCACTGCCGCGAGCATCGCCCGGTCCTTTGCACTGGCTCAAACTCGCGTCCTTAGATTAGTATGCAGATTTTTGTTCCTTCAACCTACGAGCCGGCTCTAAGGAGACTCTCTTGCAGCTCAATTGACAGTTTGGCGGATGCCCTTATGTATCAGATCGTACAGGAGCATAAAGTTAAGCTTTAATCATCGCACCCAGGGAGATTTGACATGAATCTGCGAACGACGTTCCGTTATAGCTCATGAGAGACACTTTACTCACTGGTACCTGGTTGCTTTTCACATGACGTCTCTTTTTTCAACGATGCGACTGAACCTTGATAGTCACCAACTAGAAGGCACTGATTTATTCTGCGAAATAGCGTCGGGAAGATTGGAGAGAGTAATATCACACCATCGTCTTTCGTTACTCATCAAGGAAGGTCATCGGATTCTGACACCTTGTTTCGCCTCTGTACACCAGTTATTATCCAATCTAGTCACTGGTGAATTGCTTCACGGGTTGTCTTCCAAGTAGGCTCTGTGTCCGTACGGCGTTCACATACGTTCAGCTCATTAAGACTTGTCTCGATAAACACGCTGCCGAAACTGCAGACATTTCAATGCACCAGGTTGGCTGATGTTGCATACTGCTTCAGATACCATCGTTGAGCGAGGTAGCCTGATTGTATCACTCAAAGGTGCGCTTAAGCGCTGGTACGATATAGCCACTTGTATTTTTGAAGCCCCATACTTGTTCCACAGTTTCTAGCTCTTCGTCTTACCTGGTGATTACCGTTTCCTTTCTCTTTAGCCGCGCGTAATAATCACACGGAGTCAACTGCACAGTCACACAGCCGACCTGTCGAAGTCTACGAACTGAGCCTCGACCGATCCACACTATATTCACGCTCTTCCACTTTGTCTGAACCCCCGCTGTGCGACGGTTCAACAAACAATGCCTACTCCAGCGAGGGTTTCTGTCGAACGGAATCCTATCATGCAGTGAAAGTTTCGTGGGCACATCTCAATAGCGCTAGCCCCACACTTTTTCAACTCACATCTCAAATTCATTTCAGCAACGATGAGTTTGCTGAACTCTTGGGACAAGTGAGCTTGCTTTTTGTTTTAATTTGGTACCTGTGTGGCTTTGGAATATTTAGTTAACATTATACCATCCTTTGGTAGTGTCGGTAGAGTACGTATCGTTCTGATCTGCTTTTTCCCCGATGTAAGGATAGTTTCACTTAACTCCCACACACCCACAGATGTTTCCTGCTTTTGAGTTAGCATCGAGTTTTTCGTTCGCCCTGGTTGTGCATGGGTCTATCCCAACCGATCACTGTACCTTGTTAAACAGAGCTCAGGTCACGCATTTAAGCACGGATCGTTTCGCATATTCGGTCGGAACAGAGAGCATGTGCATCCGCACGTGTTAACTCCGTTGCGCTATCGCAAGTCTGACCACCGACTTCAGGACGAATCCGTCGCCCACGCTATCAGGGCTTGCCAATTTGCATCACGAAATTTATGTAAGCTTATCGGGAAGTATAGACTATCACTTTTGAGATGGAATTTTCACTTGCACCGCCACCACCTGAGAAGTAGCCCTTCGATAGATGGCATCAGGCCTAAGTGGACTGGAGTACAATTTCTCGGGACTGAACACACATTGAGCCACCAGACCTTTTCTGTAATCGTTAGACCTTGTCTTTTCTCAGCTCGACGAGACATGTGCCCCTTGACCACTGTAGGCAACTACAACCCACATACCAGTTGGTACATGTGATATCTTCAACTTTACGATCCAGATGACCATAAACGCATCGGTCCTTTTAGAATTTCTGATTGGAAGTTCTCCAAGGTGACCAAATGATGAACCTTGAGTATGCGGAGCATACAGTTTTTGGGTCTGACGCAGTAGCTATGCAAAGACTACTGAACAAACTGGCGCGTATCGCTGCACGCTCCGACATGTGTTTTACACCTTCAAATTGTGAAATATTGTCTCATGACTAGACGGGCACGGCTACGCTTCTAGCTATCACCGAACAGCTCCTGGGAATGGTGGATCGGTTCACTTACCTTGGTAGCTGTGTCACCTCTGGTGCTCACATCATTGAGGAACTTGCTTCGCGTATCAGCAAGATTCGTGTGGCATTTCAGAGACTCAACCATTCATGAAGACGACGGTACATCATCCTCGTAATGAAAGATAGGCTGTATAACTCTTTAATAAGGCCGGTGCTGTTGTATGGACCAGATATGTGGCCAGTTCGCAGTGAAGACATCAAACGCTTGGCAGTGTTTGACCACTGGTGCTTGCGAAGCATTGCTCACGTCTGGTGGGAACACCAAGTGAGCAATGCTATGGTCCGCCAGTTGGTTTTTGAGAAGAAGTCTTTTGGTGACTCACTCGAGTGTTTTCTGAATTTTAACCCTTTACGTAAGCTAGATCATGTCTTCTGTATGCTTGTTGACCGGCTTCCTCGGTCTGCATTACACGCCGTGACTGCACCAATTGGAGCGAAACTGCGAGGTGGCCATCGATGGCACAGCATAAAGAACTTCACTAAGAGACTTGGTCATGCTCGTGCATGCTATCCACACCAAAGATTGGAGATCCTATCAGAAATAGCACAGTCACACCGCCATTGGCGTTCCTTCATTCGGTTTCTTACATCTAACCGTTCATGTTTACTCCATCCTGATTAGTTTAACGCGCTTCTTTCTTGATTCCGTTTTCCTTGTACTCCGTTTGCGTTCAATCTCATCTTCCCGAAAATATACTTCTAACCGCTGTGTGAAACACTGCTCGCAGAGCTCAATGGCCTAGTGATCATGGCGATAGCCGCCAAGCACTATGCGCCGAGTTCCACTCCCAGCTTGGCTATCTCTACCTGCTGAGTCTAAACAAAGACGAAACCGTCGGTCGTGGAGTGCAGGAATGGGAGAGAGCCACGCCGAAACCCTCCACTTCGGTGACGGTCCCAGTGACCGTATTCGCAGAGGCTGACTTCAACGTCAACCGACGCCACTAGTGAGATTGCGCGTCGCAATCCAAGACACACGACAGTTGCTCCAAAAACCCGAAAATATACTTCTTGCCGTTGTTTACTGTTATTTTGGCGACGTGATTCGCGGCAACTGACTGGATCCACCGCACTGCGGTGTCCTGATCAAAGCTGTCCAACTGAACTGCACTGAAGTACCGTTTTACGTGTTACTTGATAAAAGAGTGTATAATCGTTAAATGCATCCCAACCACACTCGTTGCCAAATTGCTATCACTCACCGTTCAGAAAATCCAATCATATCTTGGTCCACGGTCGAGCATTACTATGGTCTATGTTTGACGCATAACGATGTGTCGACCACTGTACAGTTTCCAGTACTGTAATTGAAGCCACATGTGATGCTCATTGCTTCTGTTATTGAGCCTTACTCAACCGCTTTGCCGTAGCAAAGGCGTTTTGTGGTATTCTAGCTGGCTGCTTGCGAAATTCCATGGTGGCGAGATATGATCACCTAGTCTTCGTATGTTACTGATACCTTTTCTGCATTACTACAGCTGTCGATTCCTTTGCGTTGCAGCAAAGTTCGGCGCTTAGTGAGGGGAGCTACGCGGTAGTAACGTGCGAGTCAATCGTTAGTGAGCGGCGCTATATCGCATCCAGTAACAGTCACGATAGTCTTTGCCACCCGCCGTGGCTGCTCTGTGGTCTCAACCACGGACCTGCAACATTTGAGTTGCGAGTTGAGGACACCGATATAGACTTATCGTACCGGATTTGAAGCGGGTCGCTCACCAACTCTGTTTCGAACGTAGAGTGTTGAATGTCTGGAACGACCTGCCGCAGCACATAGTAGAGGCGAACTCAGTGTCCGAATTTCAGAAACTCCTAAACAAACACTTAGCAGGGTCAAAATATAGAGAGTGGACGATAAATAAGGAGTATATGTCCAAGAGCGACGACTGATGCAGCTACACAGAGAAAGCTGTACTCGCTGCTTCGAACCAGTATTCATTGTTACGCTGGACTGCCTGACGAGATCCAACCGACTGCATGCTCAGCGTGCCGTGGAAACAAGTAGGTCTTACCCCAGTCTATTAAAAAGTGGATGACACAAAGTGGTTGGGTTGCTACAAGCAACCACTATTGAGACCTCGGTTCACTTGAGGTGGACTTCGGTCGTTCCGAACACAAGGACCGAATGCGAAATGGAAATATTTTGGTGTTGCTCATCCCAACACTGGCACCCCACGACCGAGGTCCACCTTAAGTAAACCGAGGTCTCAATAGAGGTTGCTTGTAGCAACCCAACCACACAGCGGATATTCTAAGTCCAACTTTGAATTCGTTTCCGCTGTACCAAACGTTGCTCACGGATCTCAGCTGCATAGTGTTTATGGCATTAGCCGTGAACCACTAGGCTCTGATTTCCACCCCAATTCAGGTCATCTCCACCTGATGAGTCCAAACCAGGACGAAACCGCGGTCCTGGGGTGCCAGTGTTGAGATGAATAATACCAAAATATTTCCATGGATGGTACAAAGTTCAAAATGGACTTCCAGACCCGGAGTAGAAGACGACCTAGTCGAGCAAGGCACACGAAAAGTAAATGTCATGGAAGAACGATTTGAAACCGTTGCCGCCACGACGAAGAAATATCTCAATACCCTAAGTTATGAAGGCGCCGAATAGAAAAGTTGCCATAATCTAAGAAAACTGCAAGAGCAGAAAAAGAAACGAATCTCAAAACATACATTGAGTGCACTTTTGTACATTAGCTGATTCTCTTCCACTTGTATATCTGCGATTATTTCAATCTTCTCCGCTTGAAAGATACGTGGTTTGAAAAAGTGATCCCGTTTTCGAAAAACCACAACGCGTCGCCAGCCCCACTTGAGAAACAGCCGCAGAAGCACGTAACTGTGTAGTAGTAGGTGGGGGAGACAGAAAATAGTTAACAACATCGGGGGAAAACGGAAGGATCACTAAGGTTGAGGGTATCAAAAATGGAATGTGGATGGTTGTGGTGGATGGCAAAAGATTGGATGAGCAGAAGTGTAACAGCAGAGCTGGCCAGATGGACGATTATGAGTGGGGCAGTTGATATGCGCCTTAATAAGAACAATACAAACCGTTATCACCAGTAAAACCGATAGTGCTGCAGCATGACGTCATACAAATGTCCCGCTGACGCACAAGCACAAATTGCGAAAGACACTCCTACTGAGTAGAAATAAGTATAAAGATAAAAAGGATCATAAACATAAATGTTCCGTGCGGCGTGGAGAGGCGCCTAGAGCGTAAAGAAAAAAGTCGTATGGATGAAAAAGACGCATGTTCCGGATTATAACCAACCTAACCAAACAGATCAAATACGTACGCGCTTTACACAGGAACTCAAACAAGGATGTGGATTGTATGCTATGTCGTGTCGTCTCGAGCGGGACGCAGTGTCACGTGTGCACCAGTTCAGGGATCAGGGAAACTACTTCTTGCTGCTATGGAAATGGCTATACTCTCAAACCCTACATAATTCGAAAGGTAGCAAACAAGATAAAGACCTGCCTCAGCAAGCGGGCATACTTGTCACATGCAAGAATCGACCTAAGCTACTCGGCTATGGTTGCATTTATGCTGGCGACAAGTTAGGATTCTAGGTTGACCTGTACACAAGCAGGAAAGTGTCTAGCATCTATCGTGTGGTTCCTTCCTCCCGCATCTTTTGTACTAATCGTCTAAACGTGCCGACAAAGAACTCTGCTTATCTATTTGATTGGGGGTGTTACTCCTGGAAGTTTTCTGGACAGTGATATCCTCACATATAGCCGTAAAGATGCTTTAAAAGGATGATCCACTGGGAATCAGCAATGACATTCTGTGACATCCTGCGAAATCTAAAGTATTCTGGTCCGGATTTTGGTGTCTTTGGAAGACTGCAGACAAATGTCAAGCACCCGAACAGATCTTCGGTAAGCGACTCCAATTTGAATCTCTAGCATTCCCTCTCCATTACTGGTGCATGGACAATGAGGCTGTCACCGTAATTTTTAAACAGCTGCAAGCAACCGTATAGATAATTGAAAATCGATGAATTGTTTCAACATTTCTGTGAGTCGTGCAACTGTGTTGTCAAAGCTCAAAGCATGGGCAGTCTTACGCAAAACATAGTTGATAAATCTGTCGTGCTCAATCATTCCCAGCATCCGCAACAGCAACCGAACTTTTGACGCATTGTCAAAACTTGACAAGTTTGTCTTCATAGTGCCTGAACCCTCAAAGAATACCAGCATGAAGCAGGATCAAAAGCGGACTCACTAACACTGCTGATCACTGCAGTGTTAACTGGCAGAGCCGACTGGGTTGAAAAACTAACGTCCGGGTGAGAGTTGTGCGGCTCCGAATTGCTGCTGCTGTCGTACCAAGATAGCTTTCAGGTTTCAACTGAGATTGACATTTTGAGTAATTTTGCTTTCAACGCCGAAATATGCTGTGATTTTCGCTGACCGTACTTTCAGCTATCGCGGCCGATTTCCCAGTTAAGAGGACAAGGTCTTTGGAAAAAACTCTATTGAGCATCCGGAAAACAGTGTGAATAGCCAAAGATGTGAGCAAGATAAACAGTTCATGCGAGAATGACTCATCCAGAATTTCCTGAATTCTAGCAACTACTAGGTGCCCAAAAAGGCACATGTTGGTTGCTTAATCAATGCGCTCATTGGCCGAATTCAAGGTGGATTATTCTCATTGGTAGACTTCAAGGTGAAACGCTCTCGTTGGCTACCCAATTAGTTTCAGGTGGCATAGGACCAAACTTCTCCGGGCTGCTAACCATGGGACGGACTCCGAACGCTGCTATTGGCGGTCTCCCTTAACAGCTATATCTATTGCTCAACTGAAATAGCCTAATTATCGCCACAAAGAAGTTGCCTGAGAGTTGCACTACAGCAGACACGCATCAGAAATCGAGGAATGTAAGGTATTCCTCGCTCGCAACACCGCACTCCACGGTCAGTTTCGCACCTGTTCGCACTCATCAGGTAGAAGCAAGACTGCAACTTGCACCGGCCGAGGAATGTCGGCCGAAATTTCCGTCTCTAAGACACCAATTTGCGGCAAGCAACGCTTGTTATAACGCCTAGTGTCGGATTGGGGTGCGTTTTGTAGTAACCGTTGTGTGAGTGGATTGCGACACGCAATCTCAATGTGGACCGCGATTCGCATTTAAGTGAACAAATGCGATCAATGCAACCGTGGCCGATGCAGATGGAAATTGGGTGTTGCGTGGCTGAAAAAATTGCAAAACCACGACGCGTCTCGATGTATCTTCATCTCATCAGGCTGAGATAGCAGACCTCGAACCCGCGACCATTGGAATCGCAGCAGAAACCTCTACCCCTTTGGGTACCGGGTCACGACCGGCAACGCTTGGCACAATGGTTAATGACTAATTGGAGGATCAATATTGGACTACAATTGGTGCAACTGGATTGTGACACGGAATCTCAATGTGGAGCGCAAGTCACACAGAAGTGAACCATGGTCAATGCGATCACTGGGGCGGCAAATGGAATGGATAAATGTTATTTGTAGTTAAGTGCGAATGTAAGAGTATCCCAGACTCCTTGACTGTGTCGTATCTGTTAGGGTTAGGCCAATCTAAAGTAACCCAACCACCATGATCATCGATCAACCGCTATCGATCACTGTATTGAACACTCCGTCATAGCCAGAACAGCGTTCGCATTCGGCATCATGGGCTGACGCAGTACGGTTGTCCAACTTCAGGCCTGTAGCGCAACATAGTCAAATACATGCATTCTTGAAATGTGTCCTTTCTATTAATACCGAGTTGCAACAAGCTGACGACGGAGGTAAAATGGAACAAGATGGTGTTTTTACAGTCATTTGGAATGCAATTTTTTCCACAAGTACGTGAGCAACTTAAAGCCGCTCGGTTACACGTGATCTGGATTTCACCCGACATCTACTTGTTCAGCCAAGTGGAGATTCGGCACCCAAACATGATCGAGACCGTTACTCCACAATTACCTTTTCAGGCAGCGGTCCTCAAGCAATTACGAATGATCGGGGCAGTCATTAGACATTTGCCTCTACAGTCGGCAGGTGTCAGAATACCGAAGAGCCTTCAGTTGATGAAACAATCAACAATGGCTTACAGCAACTGTTCCAAGCTCCAAGCAACAGTCGCACTTCCCTTGTAGTTGTAACAATCCAAGTGTCAAAAGACCTTCAAGAAGGTCATGCGATTAAAACTTCTCTTTGGGGGGAGTTGTTAGAGTTAGACCAATCTAAACTAACCCAACCACAATGATCATCGATCAACCGCTATCGATCACTGTAATGAACACACCGATATAGCCAGAACGGTGTTCGGATTCGGCATCAGGGGATGACCCAGTACGGTTGTCTAACTTCAGGACTGCAGCCCAACTTGGTCAAATACATGGATTCTCGAAATGTGCCTATTCTATTAGTATCGGGTTGCAACAGTATCTGACGGGACACCTCAAACTACAGATTTGGTTGAGGCAAAGTTCCCAAACAATGAGAGCGGCAAATACAAAGCAGTCCCATACTCTGTAGAAACATCGTCGACTGATTCCCATAGGTTTAAAAAAAGCTAGATGGAGTACTGATAGCTAATACACACTGGGACAACGGGGTTGTAGATACGCGGAGCAAATGATCCGGACAAGAAGGGGTGGGCAAAGCAAGTTCAAAACAATGACTCCAATACTGAACCAGGGGGTCGTCTTTTGAACATTCGATGCCACCAACAGATAGGAATACTATTCCTCCGGCCGGTGGCCGAGTGGTCTGCGCGCCTGGTTTACAAACCATAAGGTCACCGGTTCGAATCTGCGTAGGGGTGGGCGTCCTCGCGGTATACTCAGCCCGCGCGCGACTGGTGGTAGTCGAGCGACGGCGAAGCGCCGTTAGGGTGTACGGCTGGTGATTTATTTATTTATTTACTTCCGGCTTCGGCGTTCAAACACCGGTCTCGCATAGCAGCATTATACGTTCTCCGTCACCACTCAAACGGTGAACAATTCCCCTTTCAGTAGTAAAAGTCGGTGTAGCAAACAGGTTCGATTTCGGTGATTCATCACTGGGCGAAATCGAACACAAGTACAAAGCTAACATTAAGACAGAGTGGATTTGATAAGTAGACAGTTGAGGTGCCAAAATAGGCTTAGAGATGTGAGCCCTTCAGGTGACAGTTGTAATCATCATCATCATGGGCAACATATGACCACGGTGGGGACAAAGCCCTAACGGATTGTTTATCTACACACAACGCGAAGATCTCTGCCAACGCGGCGTGTGATAAGATTGCAGCTGACGCTTCTCACTCGGTAAATCGGGTGAAGGCACAATTGTAAACGATAAATCGCTTAGAAGCATTGAACTAACTTGGTTCCACTGGAATGGACAACAAGAAAGCCGGAATCGGAGTATGGTACATTATTGTAATCAATTAAAAACAACATACGTACAATACCTCAATAAGTTGTGCTTTGGCATCGGGGGTCTCAACAACAGCAACAATGAAAAATAGCCAAAAGGTGTGATTTTAGACACACGTGAAAATACATCGTGGATTGTTCATCTGCAATATCGCGCTCAGCTGTCTTAACTTCAGCTACCTGCACTCCTTATCACACACCACCTGTTCACTTGCTCCAAATCACTGTTATCCTGTTTCCATTCCCGATGGTTTCGTCAACACCAACAGTTCGTCGAGTAGCCCTTCTTCAGCCTCGGTCCTCGTTCCACCTGGCATGCTTCAATGTATGTACGCTCATGCAGATCGGGTAGCAGCCTGGTCTTGCGCGCACTTTGGAATCCCTTGCCAGCGATGTTTGCTATCTTTCTGAAACACTCCAGTATTGTGTTTGAGTTGAGATCGCACACCGACCACGGAGCCATGTTTCACTAAGTCTATCTGGAGACACAGAGGCAGCAGCGGCAGGCTTGGTTGGCGTTGGTGTAGCGCTAAGCAGCCAAGTCGAAGCCCCGCTGCCGGAGAGGTTTCCGATTAATAGCTGACTGCGTGCAGTTCGGCTTCGGGGATCATGCAGTATCAACAGATAGCGTGAAGATAGACGCAATTTGCTTGTGGCCTCGACTTATGCGCCCACTGACTGCAGTCTCGACTCGGTCAAGGACGATTTCTACCGTAAACCTCACTAGCTCTTGGATATAGCTTGGAAATCCGATATTCTTGTCCTTGCTGAGGATCTCGACGCACGGGTCGGTCGTCTCTGTCATGCGAAAGTCATCTCGGTGGCCACCATGCGCTCGATGAGAACCGCTCAGATGATGGAAAGACTTTTCACGTAGTGCAAAGATAATCGTCTTTTGCTCTCGAGCACCAACTTTCGGCATTCGAGGAAACGTTCCGCTACTTGGCGACCCCCTTCTGCGTCTCAATCATGGTCTCAGTATGATCATATCGCAATGGGTTTCATATAGAGATGTATTGTAAAGATTTGCAAAGCAATCTGGTCCACCTTTCTTGACTCTTATTTGTATCATGCTCCTAGAAATTCTCTTCTCTTCTGTGTTACTGCTTGAGCTAGGACCTTCGTTATGTGCCAATTGAAGCAGTGTTTCCCGTCATGCACATGTGCTAAGACAAAAGACGATGCATAACGTTTTTGACAAACCCTCGGATGTTCTTGTATCCATGTAGTTCCCTTCCTGTTTGTCCCACACTTCATTTCACAATTATGGCAATTTATTTTATGTACGGCGTTTGTTCGTTCGTGTGCACTCCGGTTGTCCTTTGGATTTGACAGTATTCTCAGAGTAGCCGTTGACTTGTGAGTAACCACGATGCGATGTTGTTTGAGAAATATAGCCGTCGTTTTAGACATGTTCTTAATATACAGCAAAATGGCCCTTTTGCTTGCATTTGGAATCAGCTCGGTGTTTGTAGTTTAGACATATGGGGATGTAGTTGCGTGAGCATGCATTAGCGCTCCTCTTCTACCCGTTTGATTTCCACTGTACTATAGTGTGTTTCAATCCCACGAAATAGCTTCCGTACGCAGCTTATTTTGTGACAGTTTGAGTGGTTGCTGTTGAAGTTCACAATTTGGTCCGTATGTGTGACTTTCCTGTGAACGGATGTTTGAAATTCACCGTCTTTTGTTCTGGTCACTAAAACATCCAAGAATGGAAGCTTGTTTGCTGTCTCAAACTTCATTGTAGATGGGTACACAGACAGAAAGTGGTAACATTCAAAGCAGGAGCTATAGCATCGGCGTGGAAGTGAAGCGAATACGTAACTGTGCAACAAAAGGGTGCTGATGGCTGAGAATTCGTTCCGAGGAGTTTTCTTCCCTTATTGGCAACAACAAGTACTTAGATTTGTGTTTCCCACTATGGGTTCCTCGGAAGACCCACAAGTATTTCGCATATACCTTGTCAATGAACGCCTCAGTAGAGCAATTGTTGTGGGGTGCTCTGATTCAGTTTTATCCTAGGATAAATATTCATCGCATTTCCAACAACACACTGGGCCTTTCTTACATCAAATATCCAGGCACTTACTTCATCCAGTTTGTCATATAAAGGTGTCGTACCTGCCAATCATCATCAACAACAACAGCAGCAGTACATCAGCCATTTGAACTGATGCTTCGTTGGCATGCCAGCTGGATGGTTCGGGATTTCCCGTTCCAACAAATCGCTCGGCGGCAGTGTTCCAGGGCGTGGTGGGTTTTCACCTGGCTAGCGTTCTCCCTATAAAAAGCCACATATGTCCGTCTAACAACACTGCGACGTGGCGAACGTGACTCGCCACTAAATAAAGTCACTGCCCCTTGCTTCATCCTGGCGAATCATTGTATTCCAGCAAATTTACGCTGTAATTCTGGGAAGCATTGGGCCCCTGTTTGACAAAGGAACAAACGAAACGCATATGAACTGAGCAATCAGTCACCGGCTCCCAAATGGGCGTGATTCCCTGAATTCGATCCGCGGCGTTGCGGGTAGGTTATTCAGCCAAAGGCTCGGGATGGTGTCCCCTAAGTCAACACCCTACTTCGGCGTGGGCAACCGAGTGGTATCTCGCCCTCTGACGAAACCATGGACCTTGATGTGCATTCTTTTACTATTTCTGTACCTTCTTTTGAGTCCCATGGATTCTGATGGCTCTATGTCTATTCGTATACTGTTGCAAAATTATATATATATATATTATATATATATATATATATATATATATATATATATCGCTGGCATACAACCATGATGACCTATGGAATGAAGAATAATAAGAGGGAGAGAAGGGGGACTTACCTGAAAATCTTAATGCCCTAACCAAACATTCTGGGTCAAGGCGCCTACACCTTGTGTAAACAACATACCGTCACAAACAGCTGGCTATCGTGTAAAGATAAGGCGGTATCGGCTAGACAGCTTCCTTGCTTCTTTCAATGCCCCGCGTCATAATCTGTCATTCCTCCTCAGATGACTCAGTACCAAACAACGTTAAACAGGCAATCTGACTAGGAGACGGCAGCAGATGCGTCACTGGTGTCGCCTGCGAGCCATGTCATGTAAAGTCTCGAGTCAAGCACAAGGCAAGTCATGTGGACTCCAGTCCGGAAGACGAGACGGACCAACGGCACCCAGTTTGATCGTCAGTGACTTCATTTCACGCTGCCAAGTCAACTTCTGTCCGCCTCGAGCCTTGCGCCACCCTACACCTGGCAGACTAAACAAGGCCCTCCTAGACAAGCGGTGACCAGGCATCTGTAAAACGTGCCCGAGCCAACGCAGCTTATTCAGTGCTATCTGTTGTTTTAGGGAGCTAGTATGATTATCACTCCACAGTACTCGCCTACGCACATCACTGTCTCGGACACGCTGGTGCCATCCGACACCAGCAATGCTTCGCATATAACGATGATCAAGGACTCGAAGGCGCCTCAGATCTTCAGACCGAAGGGGTTAAGTTCCACTAGAATAAAGCAGAACGGCCCTCACTGTGGCCTTGTATACACGGTCTTTCAGATGGAGGGAAACTCCATTCTGTCGCCAAAGAAGGCGCAGGTTCAAGAAGGTAGTTCTGGCGTCAGTTTCTATGCGCCCATCGTTGCTGATGCAACTGCCAAGGTAAGTGAATCGATCAACCAGCTGAGTTCCTCGTTAGCAAGGGTCAATGGGTTATAAAGTGGCTGGTGTTGTAGTTGTCCGGACGGTGAATCACCGAAAACGAACTTGGTTGCTGCACGGATGTGAAAAGCCATATGAGCTCTAGCGGTGCACAAGGTGATCGCGGTGGTGCAATCACCGTGGACAGGTTTGAGCCGCAGTGAGCAGTAGGGGGATTTCGTTGCTCTGGTCGTCTGCCGGTGTAGCTGCGGCCAATCTTCCCAAAAACCCAACAAATCTCATGCTACACACTAAGAATCGCCAAGACAGCTTACATGCCATCTCAACCATTGACGGTTTGCAAAGGAAGTCGTAGCTCTGGGGGCTAGCCCAGTTCTCTGCACGTTCATAACCTGCTTGGCAGTAGAGGACGAGCCGCGTTATATCGCAGTTAGATATCAGTTATGGCGGTTCGCTGCCGTCAGCCATGACTGTGGCATAAGTCGCTGACTTATAAGATTAAAGTCGTGGGTTCGAATCTGGCAGCATTCGGCTAGTATGTGCTACCGACGGGTCTCAATCGGATAAAGCGGCCGTCTAGCGCTTTCTTGGATGTGTGGTGGCCGTCTGTCCGAGTCTAGTTGCGAGGAATCTCCATGGAGAAATTGGAGCGCTATCTGGCTCGACAGCAACGTCCACTGTGAGTGGATTGGGAGAGAACTAAATGACCATTCGTCAGCACTTTTCAGGCTGAATGAATTTGACTAACGAGTCACTGGATATTGCAATGGATGCTAAGTGAAAAGCAGGAAAATAAGAGTATTTTTGTTCGTCGCAATCAGCCGACAATTCAGATATGTCGACCAGCTATCCGGAAAAGCACCAGACGGCCGTTTCGTCCTATTGGGGCTCATCAGTGGTGTGCATCCTTCGGTCCTCTGCGGAGGATCGAACCCATGACTGCTAGTGGCTCTTGCCAACTAGCACGCAGCTTATGCAACTGCGCCATGGAGGACGGTATCCGACCATCACGAATTGTTAGCTAAATGCGATATATAGCATCCAAACGTGGACGGTCCGTATTCGTGTAAAAACTACCGCGAAACAAAAGAAAGTGGCCGTCAGTGAGAAATGTGGAGGAAGCAACAGGTGGCTAAACGGAGCGAATACCCACACGTACGGCGTTATGACACTAGGCCGTGCCGACAGCTTGGACGGGTTTCATGGCAGACGCGAGAAGCGCTGATCGAAAGTAAAATCTAGGTGCGATATGAGTGACCGGCAAACCCCGGCGAGGATTGTGCCATTACGTGAACGAACCACCAAATTTTGCAAATTGGGCCAGGGGGAGGCGTTCACGTTGGCTGAGACTAGGAGGTCGAAGATGGGGAATCAAGGTTTTCGCAATCAGAATGCATGGTTGACCTCTAAACAGAAACGTCACATTTCATAGGATACACACCGTCTTCTGAGCCCTCTGGTTTCACAGTTAGGCAGAGCAGACCGTAGCCGAAGTAGTACCACAAGAAAACTCAGGGTAAAAACAGAGCAACTCGCATTGGATTTGACATGTCAAATTCGGACTAAGACACTCAGCAATGAATTGGGTACCAAAACTACAACATCCTTACTTGGCTTGAGTCATGGCTGGCACGGTGCGAAAGAAGTACGGATAGTGCTTCTGCTCCAAAAAGCGTGCCGTGGCTACAGTCGGGCTGATGATCAATTTTTTGCGAAAATTGGCCAACTCCACCACGGCCTCAATTGAATCGGAGCACAACGCAACTGTAATGCGTGGGGAAATGAAGAAAGGCGGGAAAATAATTCGCGAACTACACAAAGAAGGGTGAGAAACAAGTGAGTGAACGCAGTGCAGCAGCGGAAAAGTGTTATGGTGCGTAAGAATTTTAGAGAGTGAGCACGCTTTGAGGTAGTTCAAAACGAAAACGTAAGCGTGACTCAACCAACAGGATGAGGCACGGATAACAACTTTAGAAAGGTACTTAAATACCAGTAAACAACTTTTATTAGTTAATTGCATCTGTAGTGCTTTCAAATTCCTACGCAAGGAAATCGTGTTCCTCCATAGATCTCTCAAGATGGTCCTTGCCGTTATTCAACTGCGTCCATCGGGCAGCAATGCCTTTACATACGTGCTGCTTGTTGAGTGACGAATCCAAAAGCAACCAATAGCATAGCAAGCATGTACACAGAATGGGATGTTAGTGTCTGATCTGGAATTGGCTACTCATCGAGCAGAACGTAGTTAGGGTCGTTCTCAGGCGTTGGATGCAATACGGTAGCAGTAAGGACCATCCTGAGAGATCTATAAGAAGAAACATGATTTCCTTAAGGAGGAAGTTGAAAGTGTTATACATGCAACTGCCTGAGAAAAGATAAAACAAAAATAACAAATAACAATGAAGCGAAGTGCTTATTGGGGGGCTAGGGGCCGCTGCAAAAAGCCAAACCTTAAGGGACCAATAAATTATTCAGTCATCGTGAATCCGCGACGCAGATAGTATGCGTGGCGCTCACAAGTTGCTGGGTTGTGTCCACTGATAAGGTTATGCGACTACGCCAGACATGCGATTCGGTAAAAAAGAAAAGTACAACAGAATTGGTTGAAGCGCAAGTAAACCTTTGCTAAATAATCGGTGCAGGTGGAGGACCACGCGTGTTGTGACACCAAGTGTGCAGTCTCTTTCGTTCGCGTCCACTTAGCTGCTTCGTTCGTCTCCGTGATTTAGCCGATTAGGTTCGATTCGCTTTTCCCATCACAGAGGTGGAGTGTCCATAAATAAATTGTTTTTGACCTACTGCGTATTCAACACTGGACAATGAAAACAAATCTACGCATGCGTGCTTCTCTGTGTGGACAGCGACGAGTATGTGGGAGATCTGTTCGGTTCAACTCTCCACAGTTCTTACGCTGAGGACCCATTCTACCCAAGGTACCCACCATACTAGATTTGGACGGAAAAACCATTAAGTGTCCATCACCACGAATTTCGATGCTCTTCCAGGAGCCATTTTATCCTCAATTTTTATTTTTATTTATTTACACAAGCTCGATTCTCGTAACGAAACAAACGTTCTCGTTGATGTATGTATGAGTGTCAGTCATCTGATTCCCAGACCCGTCGACCAAAGCACAACTCATCCTGAACAACCACACAGCTTGGTTCAAATCACTGTAGCTGAACGTTTCAAAATGCAAATGTTATTTTCTCACTGCTTAGATACGATAATCAGCCAATCCACATGCACTGTCGCAACCTCGCATCGATGACGAAAGCCTGTATCCATCCAGGATATCGAAACACAAATGGCAGTGATACTGTGGCGTAATGTTACCTGGACCTCTTATGTGAGGCGAAGTACTTATGAGAGTCAGGAGACCACAAGTCATCAACTCGGTACTTTGCTACTTGATAGGACGGTTTGTACCTGCGTGGGCTAAAGATTACTGGGCGTACTGTTCTCCAGTGATCCTCCTTGGCTATTTGAATAAGCACCACAAAATAACTGCCAGTTACCACCAGTTACATCAATCATATATGTAGCGAAATTTAAACTCGGAAACATGCTACTGACAACGTACTCAATAATGTTCCTGCAAAAACGCATCCAAATTAATCACACTGATGCTAGTCAACTGTTTTACAGGACAAGGTCTGAATTGATAGTGAATATTGGTTGGAAGCAGCAAAAGAATGGGTGTGTTTGCGTAGCTGCATCTAAAACCCCACAGGAGAGCATTCCATATTTTCAGAATTCGGGACACTTGACTTTGCTTCGACTACGTGCGGCGGAAGGCTGTGCTATATATGCACTATCCTCCGCTCGAAACAGAGCTGATGAGCAACACGCTTCACATTTGGTCATTCATTATACACGTTAGCTGGTGGAAAACACCTCAGCTATTGTGCCGAAATACAAAAGACAAGAAAAGGAAAACAAAAACAGTGGCACGCCGGCTGAATCCCCAGTAACGGATGAACATTGTTACGGAGAGCTAACTACTAGCTATCGTGCCGTAAAAAGAGAGTTATATTATGCCTACGACTGAGATCGTGATTGGAGGGGGATAATAAGTAGGAGGCGGATGGATAACGGAACTCACAACATATACCCCATTGGGGCCGCCTCCAAGCCATATCAGCAAGTGTGTCCAACCAAACGTGTTCACCGTCCCTAGGACCCCAGCCAGGCACTCGGGATGCATCAACCGAGGCCAAGTTCGAAGTGAGGGTTTTTTTATCTCTCTGGACCAAATCATCGCTTGGCAGAGGAGACTGTCCCTACAGTCTGGAACCGCTCCGTCATTGCTCAATTTTCAAGGGAAACTCCCGTTTGGAATGCGGCAATTACAGAGGGATCAGTCTGATTTTGATTGCCTCTAAATTGCTTGCCTCTGTCATTTCCCATAGACTGACTGGGACTCGTGAAAGCCAGATTCGTGAGGAGCAATCCGGATTTCGTCGAGGTCGGGGATGCATCGACCACATCTTCACCTTGCGTCAATTGTTGGAGCACCGCCATGTTTACTGGCGACCCACTGTTGTCGTGTTTCTTGACATAAAAGGTGCTTTCGACTCAATCGGTCGACCTGCCCTTTGGCACTTGTAGTACCAAATGTGTAAACCATCGTAACGAGGCTGGACCTTACCGTGGTGCGATGGTTTGTGTGCCTCAGCGATCCATTGAGCTATGCTGGGTGGTGCTTTTCTTTGCACCTTCAGAGCCACTCATACCAGATTGGTCAATGCTTAGAGACCAGACAAACTCAGCCTCCTGGTCCTCCAGGTTGGGGGTTGGAATGAGGGTGGCTCCTTATTCCTTAAAACGGACTCCTTGTAGCCCAATGCCAAACCCGCTGCCTTGCGGTCAGGTTTTTGAACCAAAAGTTTCAATTGAGGACCCTAATCGTTCTCCTGTCTAGGCCTGGGCAACCTGACAGTATTCTGCCTACGCAATACAATGAATCCTACATCAAACAATTTTTTGATGCTCTGATCGTCGCAGAAGATACTAAACGGCGTCCTGCATGCTACATCGAGCAGGGTGGAAAGGGGTATGGATGCTACTGATCAGGCCTTCCCGTCTTCTTATCCCCTTCTTGCGCTTCTTCACCCTTATCGTCCCGCTCTAACTTTACTTTTATCTCCCCTCTGTTCAACCCCCCAATTCTTGGCCCTCCTCCACCTTGCTTCAATAGTTGCTTGTCTTCTAGTTTCAAATCACCCACAGTCGCAGGGCGTCACTCTAATCCAGTTGGTAGTACAAGTTTGTAGCAGTGTCTTCATGTGCGCATACGGAGCAGCAGTCCCAAGATGGAGCAATCACCAATAGGTAATATCCCGTGCGTCGTGAGGAGAACAACCCGCACCGGACGGTAAAACAGGGTGTAAAGTTCTAATCTCTTGCATCGGTATCCATACGGTACATGTCGTAAAACGAGGATGAGCCTGGTGGCCACATGCTGCGCCTACTAGATCCTTTGTACCCCGCCCTGAATGATAGGATAGCGTGTGGGTGAGCCGTACTCTAACATTGGTCGCATGATAGAAACGAACAGGTGAATGGTAATCTCCTCGGATCAAATGCAGAAGCTGGGTTGGAGCGCCCAAAGACCGTTTCGGTAAAGCCTATTCATGCTGTCTACGTATTTTAGGTCGGATCGTGACAGTACTCCGAGGTCTTTCACAAAAGACACGTACAAATTCACATATGCTAGCACATGAGTCTGCAGTCCATCAGATGTATCTTATATCCAACGCTTTTCGGTAACCAACCCTAGTGATACTATATCTGACAGCTTCTTTAAAAAACACATTGCTAGTTTATTCACATTCCCGTTAATAATAATAATAATAATAATAATAATAAGGCATATGTTCTCGTGGTACCAAGCCCACAAAGAGACGGGTCATATAAAGACTAAGGCCCAGAGAAGTGGGGCGTAGAAATGTTGCTGCAAGTATGTTTGTTTCATATATAAAACGTCGTTTCTTGTTTCTAAATACATACCAGGCAGTAGAGAACTGACTACTATGTTCGTTTACCTCGGTTGGATTGGAGCACCATGCAAGGAACGATGACAGACATCGTTTCCACACAAATCTAACCGTGAATGGCACTTCACGTGCGCTATTTTGCTACCCCAAAATTTGTACAGGAACGTGACATAATCACTCCGCCGAAATGTTTTCCGCTCAAATCCCTTAATAGCCTACAGCCAACACAGTTTAAGTTTCACAGGGCACGATTGGTTAAAACCGTAGTGTCATCACAGTAGACATGAGGACAGTAAGATCGGGTAATAAGTAAACAACAATCGAATCGTAAACGTAGAAGTTTAACACATATAGGCTAAGACAGCCACAATACGTCAGACGAAACACTGTACAGCTGTTTCATCCTTTCGGGAACCGGCGGCAGTGCAAACATTATCTGACCCCTGTGGGGATAGAACTCGCAACCCCAATGTTACCAGTAATTGGCGAAGACCACTAGGCTACAGGGGATGGGAACGACCGGTGTGGCTGTTAGTTGGCGTGATATAGCGCCGCTCACTATCCGCTATTTGCACGTTACAACGGTATATATATATATATATATATATATCACGCGTGCCCCATGCTAAGGCTGATGTTGCATTCTTGATGCTCCTTCACCGCAGTTGCGCTAAACCAACTTACACTTAAAATAGGTCTTTTTAAGCTGGCTAAATTTCATTCCACTTTATTTGGTTTGTGCTGCCTACGTGAATAATCTTCTATTAACTGGCCACGTTGTTCTCACTAATTGCGCTTATCTTCGGTAACTGCTGCATTGGTACAT